GTAGTGGTTTCAAGAACATGAGGGAGACTACCTTGCTTAGGTGGCCCCCACAATCACCAGATCTCAATCCAATTGAGCATTTGTGGGACAAAATTAAAAGAACCATCAGGCATCTGGTTCCGCAACCATCAAATCTCACAGAACTGGACAGTGCTATTCATCAGGCATGGAGTCAGCCAATTTCTCTTTAAAGCTGAACTCCTCAAAAATGTTTATACACTCTGCCTCAGTTTCTCTGCTCTTTCTCAAACCCATTCCAATCAGATTTTTATCCCCAATACTCCAACAAAACAGCTTTTCTCAGGGTTTGATAACTCCTATTTTCAGTGATCTGTGGATATTTTTCCCTGTATTAATATGTCATCACAATATTTAGAGGTTGTTTACAAAGCAGCTTTAGAATGTATTGATTTTGCAGAATATCATTTGCAGTAAACTTAATTCAAAATCTTATTTGCTTTATATTATAGTGAGCTAATCTTTAAAGTTTTAAAACCACAAACCCCTTCTTATTAAATGATATAGTAGCAAAAAATGGAATGGCAACATTTATTCTGCACCAAGAGAGAAAGAATGACTACTAAAATTATATATCATAATTGAATCACAGAAATAACTGAAAATTCTTTTTTTTTTTTTTTACAGTTTTACAATTTGCCATAAAACAGAAGTTGTCAAAAATACTCTGAATCCTGTATGGCAAGCATTCAAGATATCAGTCCGAGCATTATGTAATGGCGATTATGACAGGTAAAATAAATGACAGCTTTTCTGAGAGCTTTGATTTTTTACTATAGATGTTGTATTCAATTCAACTTAATCCTAAGTTGCTTAAAAAATTAAAATAGCTTCTTTACTGATGTAAGTGTGTATGCACAAAAGAATGAATAATTTATTTATGTTTTGGGGAAGAGGGATAATTTGGTAAGTTAAAATTGGTTAAACTGACTGTATTTCCAAGAAGAAAAATGTGGAAAGTGCTAAAAAGATATTGAATATTAGTTTATGTTTTTTAACATATTACTATTCAAAAGTCATTCCACAATGTTCACTGCCTCAAGGCTTTCATTTGGTATTGTCTTTCTAGGCTGACATAAGTAAATATATGAAATATATAATATATAAGACTATGACTAGATATATTATCAACCCTGAAAAACTCCTTAAAATTCTATTTGCAGCACTGTTCTCATGGTTGCTGAATCTATAGATCTAGTAGGTGGGTGTGGTGGCCCTGAAGATCTTTCCATTATATACCTGAAAATTTCTTACTATCAAAGGTGTATTTTTAAAAAAATTAACATTGATGGGAAGCTTATAATATAAAAACCTCCATTCACCCCAAAAGAAAAGCAAATAAATGGAAAGTAAAAGCTCAGTCTCTTTATTTTATTTATCTCATTACTTGTATATTAGGAAACTGGGAATTTATTCTGTTAACTAATATCATAGAAGGAACTATTGATTACCAATATGTCATTATTTTTATTCTAAAATGTATCATGCCATTTGACTGTCATTTTATTCCTTTAATTGGATTATAATTTAATTAACTGGTTATCCTTTCTCTAAGAAGGTGCTTTTCATACTGTAGTTCAGCATCACCCCGTGAACCTTGTAGAAATTCAGGTTCTCAGGCCCCAACCCAGATTACTGACCCAGGAACTCTGGGGATGAGGTCCAAGGATGCATGTTTTTACAAGCCCTTCCTGGGATTCTGGTCTGGGCTGTGATGAGAAATCCTGTTCTGACACAATATTTTCAAAAGGAGAGATGTAGCTGAATGTCTCCCTACATTCTCTGTCACACTACACACCTCTCCCATATACTTTCCCTGCTCCCTTTACAGAATCAGTGCAGAATGTAGAAACCTCGGCTAAGACACAAATTGAATTTAGCAATAAAATGATCAAAGACAAGTTCAAATTACTGTGTAAAGCCTTCAGGCGTACACTATTTTGTCTCTAAAAACTACAATTCATTTATTTTGTTTTTGATGGATATTTTTTTTTATTGTGGATAGTATTACAGATGCTTCCTGTTTACCCCCCCTTAACTCCCCGTCCTCCATGCCCCTATTCCTCCCAGGTCTTCACTACCCTATTGCCCATGTCCATGGGCTATGACATATAAGTTCTTAGGTCATTTTGTCTTACTAAGTAACTTTATGTGTATGTTTTTCTCACGGACAGAACAATCAAAGTACAGGTGTATGACTGGGATCGAGATGGGAGGTAAGACATTGTCTCTTCTTTTACTCTTGCTCTTGGCACTTAATATGCTTTAATACATAAGTATACTGAAATGACCATGTTTTTGCATTTTAATTTTGTCCTCTTTTCCCAAATATTGCTGAAGTGTTCACATGAGATTTTAAGAATGAGTGTATTTTCTTTTCTTTTTTTTAATATATTTTATTGAGTTTTTACAGAGAGGAAAGGAGAGAGAGATAGAGAGTTAGAAACATCGATGAGAGAGAAACATCGACCAGCTGCCTCCTGCACACTCCCCACTGGGGATGTGCCCGCAACCCAGGTACATGCCCTTGACCAGAATCGAACCTGGGACCTTTCAGTCCGCAGGCCGACGCTCTATCCACTGAGCCAAACTGGTTTCGGCATGAGTGTATTTTCTTTAATGTGGAGATTAAAATAGAGGTCTTCCTCATTTCCAGTAACATAGTACATTTGGATCTAATATTTCTCATGGTATCCAACTTACAGATGTTGTTTTATTTCTGTATCTCACAATCTCTCCGAAGATTCCTATAATCTTTGTATCCCATATCATTCATGGGAACACACCTGAGTCTTCACCCCTCCCCCTCCAAAACAGACATACTCCTCACAACAAACAACAAAATAAAATGCAAGGATTATGTCTGATGATTGCCAGTAGAAATAGCTGTTCCGAGTTCCGCAGTTATGGTCTCCCTCTGCATATCACAGCAGACGTTAAAGACTAAAAAAGAGGGAATGTACTACCTTTTTTCTTTCTTCTTAAGTATTGTCCCACTGTTTCTATTGTTTTAAATAGGGTTGATGTTGAGGTGTTTTTAGATGATGTTAAAGCCAAGGTGCCCAGTAATGCTCAAATCTCGCCTTGGCGTAGAAAACAGCCTCTCCAGGTGGTTCCAGGAAGTGAACATAGGGAGGCCAAGGAGAATGACAAGTTGGAAAACAGAGGGCATTTAATTTTGCTTGGCTGCATGCCCTAAATTCCAGCCCAGGTGACTGGTGAATGGAGCTAAAGCATGAGCTTAAAGCTCAAGATCCAAGGCTTTTCTCTGCATTGTATGTAAGCCAGCACCCAGGCTCTAAGGGTCTGGATACCTGAACACTCCTATTAATATAGGAACAGGTTGGATCAAAAAGATTGGCCTGTCCTGAGAGGGCACCTCCCCTCACCCTTCTGCTGCTTGGGTAGGAAAATGCCTAATTGGAGCACCTCATGCAAGCATGCATGTGCCATTTACACAGACACTCACACATACGGTCCATTACGTGTCCGGGAATTTAGCCCAATTATCATTTTCTCCTTTCTAAGGAGTGATAAGGGAGGATGGAGAGAAAGGTAGAGATTATACTCCACACGGCAGCAGTCTTCAAACTATAACCCAAACATGATTGTGCTAAAGTGGCCTAACGTTTTTTGACTTAACGTTTATACCTAGAGATGATCAATGCTGTATTACTGATCTTTGGATTCCTGTCAGATTACTCATTTAATTATTTCTTTATTTAGAGTTTCTTTACACAAATCCTGCATGCATTCTGAAGAAATCTCACAAGATAACCTAATGTGTTTCCATAGGGACTGATGCCTGATTGCTTCACTAAACTTTATTCACTGAGAAAATGAGTTTTGCTCCTCAGAATAAATAGGAAAGAAACAATGCCAATCTGTGTAAAGTAGGCATTCTGCCTTCTATCATATATCCAATGATATACATATAGGGTGTGTCATATAAAGTTTTATAATAGATCATATACATTTTAATTGAGAATGGGCAAAAGTTGTGGCCTTTTTCTAGTATTTTTAGGAAATTGGGGGAAATTTTAACTTAAAACTTATAAACTAGGGGTATAAATTCAGATTACATGTGTATCCATGACAATTCAATCCAAATTTGCAAACTGTAGATATTTTATTGTATTGCTTTGAAGGGTGAATTTTTATTACTCTCTTGTTGTCTTCAGTCTATGTCTGAGCCACAAAATTTTTAAATAGCTTTGAAAGTTAGAATTACCTTGAAATTCAGTTATCTTTTCTTTTGATGTTGGAGTTTTGAGCATTTCTATACAGGATATGACATATTGACTGTTTCTAATGTGCCAGATTTCTTTGAGCATTTTTAATTTTATTTCCCACTTAATTTTCACAATAAGGGATAAATACTATAAAGGTTGGGGTAAAAGTAGGTTTACAATAATTAATAAATAATAATACAGGTATAAACTCTCACAACTGTAAAGCTACTTTTGCCCCACCCACCCCATATCGATACCATTTTATAGATGAAGAAACCAACACAAAGAAGTAAAATGCCTGAATCACACAACTAGTAAATGGTGGAACCAAGATCCAAACTCTCCAGTATGCTTCCAGTGGTGCATTCATAATTAAGACACTATATGTTTCTATAACATAATTAAAAATTCTGACACTTAAATAAAAGCCTTCAACCTGGACAATGGTCTTACCCTATGATTCTTTGGTAATTGATAATGTGGTGATTAGAGGAATTCAAGGGCTATTTAAGAAAGCTTTTAACATAAGTATGTTATCTGACATTTTATATTATCTGGAAAAATGGATGAAACATTCCCAGGAAGCAAGTCTTGTGTAACAGGCAGTTAGGTAGAGAGAAGTATTACATATTTTGAAAGAATCTTACTCGACATTGAGTGGGCCAGTTAAATGTATAAAATACATGATTTAGATTATGAGAATGACAGCTAAAATGAGATCAAGAGCAAGTGAAAGAGAGATAGGGAAAACAGAGATAGAGAAAGAGGTCATTTATGAAATGTACTGAAAAGAAGTGAAGGATTTGGATTTTTATATTGGGAAAAAATTTTCAACAAAAACGATGATTTACTTTTTGAGACAAGGATTTAGAAACAAGTTAAACATTTTGATTTATTTTGTAAGCTCATGTTGTCATTGTATCATCAACTCTTTGGGGAAAGATCGGCATTGGTGGATATGTTGTTGATTAATTTTTAAATTTCACTTCTACACACCACCCATAACAGCACATTCAAAAGAAATCTGGGGAATTAAAGACATCCTATATAATAAAAGCCTAATATGAAAATTGACTGAATGATGGAATGACCAGTTGCTATGATGCACACTGACCACCAGGGGGCAGATACTCAATGCAGGAGCTGCCCCCAGCCCACAGGCCCCAGGCCATCCAAGGCAGGTGCCAGTGGGGTCTCCTCCCTCCCCCACAGAGGGAGGCGACCAGTGGTGGGGGCGGGGCCAGCAAGCAGGCGGCGCCAGACTAGCCAAGGTAGGTGCCAGTGGGCCCCCCGCCATCACCCAACAGTTGCCCCACAGATTAGCCCTGATTGCCGGCCAGGCCTAGGAACCCTACCTGTGCATGAATTTCATGCACTGGGCCTCTAATTGATAATAAAGGGAGTGAAATTAGGAGGGAGAGGTTGTTAGGGGTACTTTAAACATTTCTTGGAAATGAATTATGATTAGCAGAATATTTAAAGGAAGGTTTTGTGATTTTACAAGTGATCTAATAGCTTCTTAATGTTGGGGTAAAATGATCTTTCTTTGATCCAAAATATAGCTTTACCTTTTGTATGAAAAATTTCAGTGTAAAAAATTTTTTTTCAGTGAATAATTCTATATAATTCAAAAGTGCTAAAGCAGCACTTTTCAAAGTTAGCAAAATTATTAGAATGTGGGTGAAATATAAAAGGCAAAATTAAAATCATGATTAAATAATTATTGAAAACCCTTTCAACTAAATAATATGTAGGAAATTATAAAAGCATATTAATCTCCAATAAAAATGAAGTATAAAACTTGTAAAATCCATATATTAATTTTATAATGCAGTAAAAATAGACACTGTATAGATAAACTGTTATATAAGTTGATATTCCAGCTTGTGCTTCTGTGTGATATAATAACATAAGGTTATTATACCTTTTCCATGAATTTTTGTTTATCTGACATAATTTCCCAAGTTCTTCCCTTAAGTCGGAGTGAATATATGATACCCATTATATTTCATAATAAATGTAATTATCGGCAGAGATTGTTTCTTATTCTTTATGTTTTTTCCCCATCATCTTAATATTTGTCAAAAATCCTGTGCACATATCACTCTTTTTAGAAAAGATTAATTGTTCAGTGGATTTTTTTTTAATAGTATAAACCAGCATTTTCCAATAGAAATAGGAGGTGAGTCACATTAGTAATTTTAAATTTTCTAGTGGCTACATTAAAAAGTAAAAATACACCAGTGAAATTAATGTAATGATATATTTTATTTAATCCTATATGTTTAAAATATTACTTTAATATAGGGTCAATATAAAAATTATTGATATATTTTACATTTTAAAAATATTTTATTTTATTGATTTGAGAGAGAGAGGAAGGGAGAAGGATAGAGAGATAGAAACATTGATCAGCCACCTCCTGCAGGCCCCTCACCAGGAACCTAGCCAGCAACCTGGGAATGTGCCCTGAACTGGAATCGAACCAACCCCTTGGTTCAGGGGTTGACACTCAATCACTGAGCCACACCATCAGGGCAAGAATTTCTTACATTTTTTTATACTAAATTTTGAAATCTGTTCTGTATTTTATGCTTACAGCACATCCCAGTTCAGACTAACTGCATTTCAAGTAACCAACCTATATCAACATATGGTTGGTGGCTACCATGTTGGACCACATCATGTAAACTTTAATGAAGTATACAGCCTACATCCTAAATAATTTCATATCAGATGAAATGTTTTCCCAGCATGTAAACAGAAGTTTAGAATTATTCCCTTATAAAGGTGGAAAAACTGTTCAGATATCTATATTATTTTGTGTATAAATTTAACCATAAGAAACCAAGAAATAATGTGATCTTTCATCTAGAGAAAATATTTTGTTCAAAGATTCAAGTGGAAAATGCTTGACAGTGTTACTTGCTTACAATTACATTTTCTTTTACTAGCCTAGGTACTTCAGATAGTTGAGATGATGA